TATGGAGTTTAGAGTGTCTGATCGTGGGTTCTATCCCAGCTCGTGGTTTGGTTTATTATATTATTTCAGGTCACTTTTTATACTGTATCTTTATATATGCTTCTAAACTGTTGTATTTGGGTGCCTCTGCAAAAACAGTGATTGTGTATGAGTGAGGTGAAAGTGTTGAATAATGATGAAAGTATTTTCGTTTTGGAGATTTTTTCTTTCTTCATGGGTCACCCTACCTAGGTGGAAGATGGCCAAATGGTTGAAAAAAAAAATAATTTAATTTACCTGGCATATCTGAGATGTGAGTATGGGGGAGGTGTGTGAGGCATTACATAGAATGAAAGGGGGTAAAGCAACTGGAACTGACGGGATCATGACAGAAATGTTAAAAGCAGGGGGATATAGTGTTGGAGTGGTTGGTATTTTTGTTTAATAAATGTATGAAAGAGGGGAAGGTACCTAGGGATTGGCGGAGAGCATGTATAGTCCCTTTATATAAAGGGAAGAGGGGCAAAAGAGATTGTAAAAATTATAGAGGAATAAGTTTACTGAGTTTACCAGGAAAAGTGTACGGCAGGGTTATTATTGAAAGAATTAGAGGTAAGACAGAATGTAGGACTGTGGATGAGCAAGGAGGTTTTAGAGCGGGTAGGAGATGTGTAGATCAAGTGTTTACATTGAAGCATATATGTGAACAGTATTTAAATAAAGGTAGGGAAGTTTTTATTGCATTTATGGATTTAGAATAGGCATATGATAGAGCGGATAGGAGCAATGTGGACAGATGTTGCAAGTATATGGAATAAGTGGTAAGTTACTAAATGCTGAAAAGAGTTTTTGAGGATGGTAGGGCTCAGGTTGGGGTGTGTAGAAGAGAGGGAGACTACTTCCCGGTAAAAGTAGGTCTTAGACAGGGATGTGTAATGTCACCATGGTTGTTTAATATATTTATAGATGGGGTTGTAAAAGAAGTAAATACTAGGGTGTTTGGGAGAGGGGTAGGATTAAATTATGGGGAATCAAATACAAAATGGGAATTGACACAGTTACTTATTGCTGATGATACTGTGCTTATGGGAGATTCTAAAGAAAAATTGCCACGGTTAATGTAAGAGTTTGGGAGTGTGTGTCAAGGTAGAAAGTTGAAAGTGAACATAGAAAAGAGTAGGGTGATGAGGGTATCAAATGATTTAGATAAAGAAAAATTGGATATCAAATTGGGAATGAGGAGTATGGAAGAAGTGAATGTTTTCAGATATTTGGGAGTTGACGTGTTGGCAGATGGATTTATGATGGATGAGGTTAATCATAGAATTGATGAGGGAAAAAAGGCGAGTGGTGCGTTGAGGTATATGTGGAGACAAAAAACGTTATACAGTGGACCCCCGCATAACGATATTAATCCATTCCTGAGAGCTCATTGTTATGCGAAATTATCGTTATGCGAATGAATTTTCGCCATAAGAAATAATGGAAATCAAATTAATCCGTGCAAGACACCCAAAAGTATGAAAAAAATTTTTTTACCACATGAAATATACATTTTCCTACACACAAAGAGAAGGATACATGCATAATAGTATAGTAGTACATGCACAATAGTATAGTAGTACATGCACAATATATATTGTGCATGTACTACTCTACTAAATGAAGAATAAATGACACTTACCTTTAAATTTAAGATGCAGCAATGACTGATGAGACACTGTGTCCTGGGAGTGCCTTTTCCTCCTGAGTACTGTAGGTCCTGTTTGGCATTTTCTTCCAGAACAGGCCTTATCACACTGTGTATGCCACTACGATTCTTAAATCTCTCAAACCAACCTTTGCTGGCTTTAAATTCACCAATATGGCACTAGTTCCAGGCATTTTTCCTGTTCACCCGGGTGTTAGTCGACTGGTGTGGGTTGCATCCTGGGAGACAAGATTAAGGACCCCTATGGAAAAAAAGTTAGACAGTCTTCGATGACACTGGGCTTTTTTGGGTTATCCCGGGTGGCTAACCCTCTGGGGTTAATTGTTTTCTTGGTATTCTCAATAAGGGCCCCACCAAACAGTGCTACAGCAGCAGCAGCAGCAGCTGACAGTGCTACAGCAGCAGCAGCAGCAGCAGCTGACAGTGCTACAGCAGCAGCTGACAGTGCTACAGCGCAGCAGAAAGGTGCTACAGCAGCAGCAGACGGTGCTACAGCAGAAGCAGACGGTACTACAGCAGCGCAGCAGCTGACGGTGGTACAGCAGCAGCTGACAGTGCTACAGCAGCAGCAGATGGTGCTACAGCAGCAGCAGCAGCAGCAGCAGCTGACGTGCTTACGCAGCAGCAGCAGCGGGCAGTGCTACAGCAGCAGCAGCAGCTGACAGGTGCTACAGCCCGCAGCTGACAGTGCAGCAGCAGCAGCTGACAGGGGCTACAGCAGCAGCAGCTGACAGTGCTACAGCAGCAGCTGACAGTGCAGCAGCAGCAGCTGACAGTGCTACAGCAGCAGCAGCAGCAGCAGCAGCTGACAGTGCTATAGCAGCAGCAGCTGACAGTGCTACAGCAGCAGCTGACAGTGCTACAGCAGCAGCAGACGGTACTACAGCAGCAGCAGACGGTACTACAGCAGCAGCAGCAGTAGCTGACGGTACTACAGCAGCAGCAGCAGCAGCTGACAGTGCTACAGCAGCAGCAGCAGCTGACAGTGCAGCAGCAGCTGACGGTGCTACAGCAGCAGCAGACGGTGCTACAGCAGCAGCAGATGGTACTACAGCAGCAGCAGCAGCTGATGGTGGTACAGCAGCAGCAGCAGCAGCTGACGGTGCTACAGCAGCAGCAGCATCAGCAGTTGACCATGGTACCACAGTATTTCGATAATATTTCTCACCCTTTTTACCACAGGGTTGGCACTAGAAGCTTTCTTGGGGCCCATGGTCACTTATTTTGCAGATAAAATCACCAAAAACGCTGTAATAATACGAAATGTTCCGATTGTATGCTTGGATGTCACCGCGGAGGCTGGCTTGTAAACAATGCCACCGGCGGAACATGTGAGGCTGGCTCAGGCCGCACATTAGATGCATCTCGGACGAATAGCGTTGAGCGGGTTTTTTAGCGGTATGCGAGGCAAAATCTTAGCGATAAAATGTATCGGTATGCAGATTTAACGTTATGTGATGCCAACGGTATGCGGGGGTCCACTGTACATGGAGGCAAAGAAGGGAATGTATGAAAGTATAGTAGTACCAACACTCTTATATGGGTGTGAAGCTTGGGTTGTAAATGCTGCAGCGAGGAGGAGGTTGGAGGCAGTGGAGATATCCTGTCTAAAGGCAATGTGTGGTGTAAATATTATGCAGAGAATTCGGAGTGTGGAAATTAGGAGAAGGTGTGGAGTTAATAAAATTGTTAGTCAAAGGGCTGAAGAGGGGTTGTTGAGGTGGTTTGGTCATTTAGAGAGAATGGATCAAAGTAGAATGACGTGAAGAGCGTATAAATCTGTAGGGGAAGGAAGGCGGGGTAGGGGGCGTCCACAAAAAGGTTGGAAGGAAGGGGTAAAGGAGGTTTTGTGGGTGAGGGGCTTGGACTTTCAGCAAGCGTGCGTGAGCGTGTTCGATAGAAGTGAATGGAGACGAATGGTATTTGGGACCTGACGAGCTGTTGGAGTGTGAGCAGGGTAATACTTAGTGCAGGGATTAAGGGAAACCGGTTATTTTTATATAGCCGGCCTTGAGTCCTGGAAATGGGAAGTACGTACAATGCCTGCACTCTAAAGGAGGGGTTCTGGATATTGGCAGTTTGGAGGGATATGCAATGTATCTTTATATGTAACATATGTAAATCTTTAAATGTATATGCTTCTGAGCTGTTGTATTCTGGGCACCTCTGCAAAAACAGTGATTATGTGTGAGTGAGGTGAAAGTGTTGAATGATGATGAAAGTATTTTCTTTTTGGGGATTTTCTTTCTTTTTGGGTCACCCTGCCTCGGTGGGGGACGGCCGACTAATTGAAAAAAAAAAATCTGAGAATGTTTTCATTAAGGTAACAAATCTTGAAGTGATGCAACACAAGTATTATCTTCCACAAGCACATTCAAGTGAAAGGGTAGAAGGGAAATACAAATAATGTATATGAATAAGGGAGATGTTGAGACAGTAGCAGGAAAATGGAACAGAGAACATTATGGAGATGAAAGAAGTTGAGCGATTTGAAAAGAACTTTAGCCTTGTACATCACCTTGTGTTTTTGGCAACAAAAATAAAATATAGAACACTGAAATTGAGAAAACAGAGCAGATAGGTAAGTTTCATCAAGGGACAGCCATAATTCAGACTACAATAAAAAGCAATTAATAATTACCATGAGTTTTCAAAGCTAATTCACTTGAACACTAAAGAACTTTTCTAAGCAGTTTGAGCAAGGTAATGTACTAGTTGGTTGGTAATTAGTGGGTAAAAAATCTCAGTTTATTAAATTTGATTTTTTCCTTGAAAGCATTAAGTGAAGACTTACTGTGTGCTAGTCACCAAGTGCCAGCTGAATTATAGCTATTCTAGTAAAAATTTATTAATGCTTTAAAAATACTGATACTCCTGAACATAACCTTACATTTACAAATGTTTAGCAAGAGACACAAAAATTATTTATGAAGTCATAAGAGACAGTTAGAATGATTGAAGATTGTGTCAAGATATCCAGTTTACCTCAAGTACGGTTTGTAACAAAGAAAATTCACAAATCATCTATTCTGCACATTAATTCCTTGACACTTACTGCTTTGACTTGCCTTTTTTGTTTTTTGCTAAACCCTGATGGCAAGTGTACCAGGTGCATTCTTATGCACTAGCTCCATAAGTGTACTTGTTGGGAAAGTTACACCTACACTTTAGGGTTCTTTTGATAAAGCTAAGTATAGTCTAGGCATAATTAACTTTGCAATTATATATTTGAGTTTGCAGGTCTCTCTTCATTTCAGACAAATAACTTGTGTTTATCTTGAAAATTAAAATATAATTTCTTTAAACTTACCTAAAAGTATTAGATCATTTTCTATTTCTTCATAGATCGCAGCAAGTTTATCTTCTCTTGAATCTAATGATATTGCAGCTTCATGGTGTCGAGTCTTCCAGTTCTAAAGAAAGAATTTTATGAAGTAAGCTCCATACTTTAATTACAGTATATCACATTAAATCAACTAATCTCTCAATGTTTTTATTAAATGCTTGTCTAGTTTTTATTAAACATGTTGTCAGTAAGTAAAAAGTACCTGCTGGATGAAACATGTTCATAAATAAAATGCCATAACTCAAATGGAGAGTTAGAGGTATTGGGAAGATGGAGGGATTATTTTGAGGAATTGTTAAATGTTGATGAAGATAGGGAAGCTGTGATTTCGTGTATAGGGCAAGGAGGAATAACATCTTGTAGGAGTGAGGAAGAGCCAGTTGTGAGTGTGGGGGAAGTTCGTGAGGCAGTAGGTAAAATGAAAGGGATAAAGATAGAAATGTTAAAAGCAGGTGGGGATATAGTTTTGGAGTGGTTGGTGCAATTATTTAATAAATGTATGGAAGAGGGTAAGGTACCTAGGGATTGGCAGAGAGCATGCATAGTTCCTTTGTATAAAGGCAAAGGGGATAAAAGAGAGTGCAAAAATTATAGAGGGATAAGTCTGTTGAGTATACCTGGTAAAGTGTATGGTAGAGTTATTATTGAAAGAATTAAGAGTAAGACGGAGAATAGGATAGCAGATGAACAAGGAGGCTTTAGGAAAGGTAGGGGGTGTGTGGACCAGGTGTTTTACAGTGAAACATATAAGTGAACAGTATTTAGATAAGGCTAAAGAGGTCTTTGTGGCATTTATGGATTTGGAAAAGGCGTATGACAGGGTGGATTGGGGAGCAATGTGGCAGATGTTGCAGGTGTATGGTGTAGGAGGTAGGTTACTGAAAGCAGTGAAGAGTTTTTACTAGGATAGTGAGGCTCAAGTTAGAGTATGTAGGAAAGAGGGAAATTTTTTCCCAGTAAAAGTAGGCCTTAGACAAGGATGTGTGATGTCACCATGGTTGTTTAATATATTTATAGATGGGGTTGTAAGAGAAGAAAATGCGAGGCTCTTGGCAAAAGGCGTGGAGTTAAAAGATAAAGAATCACATATAAAGTGGGAGTTGTCACAGTTGCTCTTTGCTGATGACACTGTGCTCTTGGGAGATTCTGAAGAGAAGTTGCAGAGATTGGTGGATGAATTTGGTAGGGTGTGCAAAAGAAGAAAATTAAAAGTGAATACAGGAAAGAGTAAGGTTATGAGGATAACAAAATGATTAGGTGATGAAAGATTGGATATCAGCTTGGAGGGAGAGAGTATGGAGGAGGTGAATGTATTCAGATATTTGGGAGTGGACATGTCAGCAGATGAGTCTATGAAAGATGAGGTGAATCATAGAATTGATGAGGGGAAAAGGGTGAGTGGTGCACTTAGGAGTCTGTGGAGACAAAGAACTTTGTCCTTGGAGGCAAAGAGGGGAATGTATGAGAGTATAGTTTTGCCAATGCTCTTATATGGGTGTGAAGCATGGGTGATGAATGTTGCAGCGAGGAGAAGGCTGGAGGCAGTGGAGAAGTCATGTCTGAGGGCAATGTGAGGTGTGAATATAATGCAGAGAATTCGTAGTTTGGAAGTTAGGAGGAGGTGCGGGATTACCAAAACTGTTGTCCAGAGGGCTGAGGAAGGGTTGTTGAGGTGGTTCAGACATGTAGAGAGACTGGAGCGAAACAGAGTGACTTCAAGAGTGTATCAGTCTGTAGTGGAAGGAAGGCGGGGTAGGGGTCGGCCTAGGAAAGGTTGGAGGGAGGGGGTAAAGGAGGTTTTGTGTGCAAGGGGCTTGGACTTCCAGCAGTCGTGCGTGAGCGTGTTTGATAGGAGTGAATGGAGACAAATGGTTTTTAATACTTGACGTGCTGTTGCAGTGTGAGCAAAGTAACATTTATGAAGGGGTTCAGGGAAACCGGCAGGCTGGACTTGAGTCCTGGAGATGGGAAGTACAGTGCCTGCACTCTGAAGGAGGGGTGTTAATGTTGCAGTTTAAAAACTGTAGTGTAAAGCACCCTTCTGGCAAGACAGTGATGGAGTGAATGATGGTGAAAGTTTTTCTTTTTGGGGATTTTCCTTCTTTTTGGGTCACCCTGCCTCGGTGGGAAATGGATTATGGGTGCAGAAGCACCCAGATACAACAGTTTAGAAGCCTATATAAAGATACATAACATATTCCTCCAAACTGCCAATATCCCAAACCCCTCCTTTAAAGCGCACGCACTGTACTTCCCATTTCTGGTACTCAAGTCCGGCTATATAAAAATAACCGGTTTCCTTGAATCCCTGCACTAAATATTACCCTGCTCACACTCCAACAGCTCATCATGTCCCAAAAACCATTCGTCTCCATTCACTCCTATCTAATACACTTATGCATGCTTGCTAAAAGTCCAAGCCCCTCGCCCACTAAACCTCCTTTTCCCCCTCCCTCCAACTTTTTTGAGGACAACTCCTACCCAGCCTTCCTTCCCCTACAGACTTATATGCTCTCCAAGTCATTCTACATGTACTTTGATCCATTCTCTCTAAATGGCCAAACCACCTCAGCAACCTCTCTTCAGCCCTCTGACTAATACTTTTATTAACTCCACATTTCCTAATTTCCACACTCTGAATTCTCTGCATAATATTTACACCACACATTGCCCTTAGGCAGGACATCTCCACTGCCTCCAACCACCTCCTTGCTGCAGCATCTACAACCCAAGCTTCACACTCATATAAGAGTGTGGGTACCACTACACTTTCATACATTCCCTTCTTTGACTCCATGGATAACATTTTTTGTCTACACAAATACCTCAACACACCACTCGCCTTTTTTCCTTTATCAATTCTATAATTAAACCCATCCACTGGCACTTCAACTCCCAAATATCTGAAAGCAGTTACTTCTTCCATACTCTCTCTCTCCAATGTGATATCCAATTTTTCTTTATCTAAATCATTTGATACCCTCATCACTTTACTCTTATCTATTATCTATGTTCACTTTCAACTTTCTACCCTTGCACACCCTCCCAAACTCGTCCACTGACCTTTGCAACTTTTCTTTAGAATTCCCCATAAGCACGGTATCATCAGCAAACAGTAACCGTGTCAACTCCCGTTTTGTACCCAATTCCCCATAATTTAATCCCACCCCTCTCCCCAACACCCTAGCATTTACTTCTTTCACAACCCCATCTATAAATATATTAAACAACCATGGTGACACTACACATTCCTATCTAAGACCTACTTTTACCTGAGCCTCACTATCCCCATAAAAACTCTTTACAGCATTTAGTAACTTACTGGCTATTCCATATACAGTGGTCCCTCGTTGTTCGTAATTAATCCGTTCCTGGAGCCGTTACTATAAACGAAATTTACGATTTACGAACCAATTTTCCCCATAAGAAGTAATGTAAATACAATTAATCCGTTCCTGACACCCAGAAGTATTAAAACAAAAAAAATTTTAACATGAAATATACATGTAGTAATAAACAATACAATGGGAAATGATGAATGAAACATTAACAGCATAACACTTACCTTTATTGGAGATTCTTCTTAGTGTATGGGAGACTGGAGGAGGAGAGAGAGTGGATTGTTTATAGTTTGGAAGGGGAATCCCCTTCCATCAACACCTCAGGTACCATTTGCTTTTCTGGGGTTGCTTCTCTTCTCTTTTTCCCTTAATGCCACTAGGACCACCTTGAGAGTCACTGGAGTCCTGTCTCACAAAATAACTGGGGAAAGGCTCTGTTTCTTGGCATCTCTTTAACATTTTCCCAAAAAGGGGCCCAAGACTTTGTCACTGTACATGTTGCCAATATGGCTTGCAACAACCTTGTTGGGGTGATGTTCTCCATAAAGCTTTCCATTTTACCCCACATAGTAAAAATCTCTTTAATTTCTGAAGAAGGCACCTTCTTCCATCTCTCTTCCCTCCTCTGCAGCAAGATTCTGAGCTCGATGTGTTGCTCTTCTGCTGAGCTCTTGCAGCTCCTAGTGGTGAGCTCTTCACTGTGGTTTTCCCACCAATTCTTCACATCCTCCAAACTCACACCCAACCCCATGGAACCCCCCAGTGCCACAATTGACTTTACAACAGAATAGGCTCATTAGGGTCAGTCCCAGATCCTTCAAAATCCCTCTTGTCACACCAATCTGGCCACAATTTTCTCCAGGCAGAGTTCAAAGCCCGGGTAGTCACTCCCTCCCAAGCCAACCTATAAGGGTTATGCAGTGGAGGATGCTGAAGTGTTCTCTCCAAAATTCTCTTAGGGTTAAGTGAGTGTCTGTGGCACAGTCAAGCACCTGTAAAAACATTGCTTTTGTGTAGAGTTTTTTAAAAGTTTGCAATAACCTGCTGGTCCATGGGTTGGAGGAGAGGAGTGGTATTCGGGGCAAGAACTTTACTGTGATGAACCCAAACTCCTCGAAAATTGGGTCATCCAAGTTTGGAGGATGAGCAGGTGCATTGTCCATTACTAGCACGCACTTGAGATCCAATTTCTTTTCCAGGAGATACTCCTTCACACTAGGGCCAAACACTTCATTGAACCACTCGACGAAAATTTCCCTCGTGACCCTTGCCTTACTATTAGATTTCCAAAAAAAACACACAATATACTCTTCATAACATTGTTTTTCCTGAACACTCTGGGATTTTCAGAATGGTACACTAGTAATGGCTTCACCTTTGAAATCCCCACTAGCATTAGCACAGAACATTAGCGTCAGCCTGTCTTTCATAGGCTTATGTCTGGCATTGCCTTTTCCTCTTGTGTAATGAGGTCCTCTTTGGCATTTTTCTTCCAAAAGAGGCCTGTTTGTCACAATTGAACAATTGTTCAGGTTTCAGTCCCTTCACTGTTTATGTACTCCTGGAATTCATGCACATATTTTCAGCCGCCTTGTGGTCCAACTGGCAGCCTCACCATGCCTTTACCACACTGGGGTATGCCAGTACGGGTTCTTAAATCTCTCAACCAGCCTTTGCTGTCCTTAAATTCACTCACTTCCCACTATTTGCAGGCAATTTCTTTACCAAATCTTCATGCAACTGCCTAGCCTTTTCACAAATAAACGAAGTCATAAGAGTATCTCCCGCTAATTGTTTCTCATTTATCCACACCCAAATAATAACTTCCAACCTTTCCAGTTTCTGGTGATCTCATTTTTTTCAGCATATTACTCCCTTTTTAAAACAACAGCATCCTTTATTTTATTTTTCTTGGCCACTATGGAACATAAGGTTGTGTAGGGTTTCTTATATACATCCTGGGCAGTTCGGGCCACACTTGTACCACTTTCCATATTGTTCAATGATGGGGTTTTTTTAAATTCAACATATTTCCCCACCTTCTTTACCACAGGCTTGGGACTAGGGGGCTTTCTTTGGAGCCATGGTAGCTTATTTAGTACTCGCAAGCACTAAAATAAATGGAATATTATGAAATATTTCGCTGGAGCACGTGAGGGAACCTTCGCTCACTGGTAAACAATGCCAGACTGGCTGCCAAACCCGGCTCACCCACCCCTGGGTAAAGCGTCCCGGAAAGAACACAACTCGCGAGTCAACCTATGAAAAGCGAGTCCATGTTTATACGAAAATACCCCTATGATTGGCAAATTTTACAATTGCCAGGAACTACGAAAAGCGAGGGACCACTGTACTTGTAACATCTGTACTTGTAACATCTGCCACATTGCACCTGTATCCACTCTATCACATGCCTTTTCTAAATCCATAAATGCAATGAAACTTATTTTTTTTTTTTTTATTATCACACTGGCCGATTCCCACCAAGGCAGGGTGGCCCAAAAAAGAAAAACTTTCACCATCATTCACTCCATCACTGTCTTGCCAGAAGGGTGCTTTACACTACAGTTTTTAAACTGCAACATTAACACCCCTCCTTCAGAGTGCAGGCACTGTACTTCCCATCTCCAGGACTCAAGTCCGGCCTGCCAGTTTCCCTGAACCCCTTCATAAATGTTACTTTGCTCACACTCCAACAGCACGTCAAGTATAAAAACCATTCGTCTCATTCACTCCTATCAAACACGCTCACGCACGCCTGCTGGAAGTCCAAACCCCTCGCACACAAAACCTCCTTTACCCCCTCCCTCCAACCTTTCCTAGCCGACCCCTACCCGCCTTCCTTCCACTACAGACTGATACACTCTTGAAGTCATTCTGTTTCGCTCCATTCTCTCTACATGTCCGAACCCCTCAACAACCCTTCCTCAGCCCTCTGGACAACAGTTTTGGTAATCCTGCACCTCCTCCTAACTTCCAAACTACAAATTCTCTGCATTATATTCAACACCACACATTGCTCTCAGACATGACATCTCCACTGCCTCCAGCCTTCTCCTCACTGCAACATTCATCACCCATGCTTCACACCCATATAAGAGTGTTGGTAAAACTATACTCTCATACATTCCCCTCTTTGCCTCCAAGGACAAAGTTCTTTGTCTCCACAGACTCCTAAGTGCATCACTCACCCTTTTCCCCTCATCAATTCTATGATTCACCTCATCCTTCATAGACCCATCCGCTGACACGTCCATTCCCAAATATCTGAATACATTCACCTCCTCCATACTCTCTCCCTCCAATCTGATATCCAATCTTTCATCACCTAATATTTTTGTTATCCTCATAACCTTACTCTTTCCTGTATTCACTTTTAATTTTCTTCTTTTGCACACCCTACCAAATTCATCCACCAATCTCTGCAACTTCTCTTCAGAATCTCCCAAGAGCACAGTGTCATCAGCAAAGAGCAACTGTGACAACTCCCATTTTATGTGTGATTCTTTATCTTTTAACTCCACGCCTCTTGTCAAACCCTCGCATTTACTTCTCTTACAACCCATCTATAATATATTAAACAACCACGGTGACATCACACATCCTTGTCTAAGGCCTACTTTTACAGGAAATAATTTCCCTCTTTCCTATGTATTCTAACTTGAGCTCACTATCCTCGTAAAAACTCTTCACTGCTTTCAGTAACCTACCTCCTACACCATACACCTGCAACATCTGCCACAATTGCCCCCCTATCCACCCTGTCATACGCCTTTTCCAAATCCATAAATGCCACAAAGACCTCTTTAGCCTTATCTAAATACTGTTCACTTATATGTTTCACTGTAAACACCTGGTCCACACACCCCCTACCTTTCCTAAAGCCTCCTTGTTCATCTGCTATCCTATTCTCAGTCTTACTTTTAATTCTTTCAATAATAACTCTACCATACACTTTACCAGGTATACTCAACAGACTTATCCCCCTATAATTTTTGCACTCTCTTTTGTCCCCTTTGCCTTTATACAAAGGAACTATGCATGCTCTCTGCCAATCCCTAGGTACCTTACCCTCTTCCATACATTTATTAAATAATTGCACCAACCACTCCAAAACTATATCCCCACCTGCTTTTAACATTTCTATCTTTATCCCATCAATCCCGGCTGCCTTACCCCCTTTCATTTTACCAATGAAACTTCCCTACCTTTATCTAAATACTGTTCACATATATGCTTCAATGTAAACACTTGATCTACACATCCCCTACCCACTCTAAAGCCTCCTTGCTCATCTGCAATCCTACTCTCTGTCTTACCTCTAATTCTTTCAATAATAACCCTACCGTACACTTTACCTGGTATACTCGGTAAACTTTACTTCTTTCTTTCAACACACCGGCCGTATCCCACCAAGGCAGGATGGCCCAAAATAAAAAACAAAAGTTTCTCCTTGTACATTAGGAATGTATACAGGAGAAGGGGTTACTAGCCCCTTGCTCCCGGCATTTTGTCGCCTCTTACAACACACATGGCTTACGGAGGAAGAATTCTGTTCCACTTCCCCATGGAGGTAAGAGGAAATAAACAAGAACAAGAACTAGAAAGAAAATAGAAGAAAACCCAGAAGGGTGTGTATATATATGCTTGTACATGTATGTGTAGTGTGACCTAAGTGTAAGTAGAAGTAGAAAGACGTACCTGAAATCTTGCATGTGTATGAGACAGAAAAAAAAAAATACACCAGCAATCCTACCATCGTGTAAAACAATTACAGGCTTCCGTTTTACACTCACTTGGCAGGATGGTAGCACCTCCCTGGGCGGCTGCTGTCTACCAACCTACTACCTAGGACTCGGTAAACTTATTCCCCTATAGTTTTTACAATCTCTTTTGTCCCGCCCTCCCTTTAAATAAAGGAACTATACATGCTCTCTGCTAATCCCTCGGTACCTTCCCCTCTTTCATACATTTATTAAACAAAAATACCAACCACTCCAACATAATATCCCCCCCTTCTCTTAACATTTCTTTCATGATCCCGTCAGTTCCTGCTGCTTTACTCCCTTTCATTCTGCATAATGCCTCACGCACCTCCCCCACACTCACATCCTGCTCTTCTTCACTCCAAAGAGATCTTATATCTCCCTGGCCAGTGCATGAAATTACCACCTCCCTTTCATCATTGGCATTTAAAAGTTCCTCAAAATATTCCCACCATCTACCCAATACCTCCAGCTCCCCATTGACTAACTCCCCTACTCTGTTTTTAACTGACAAATCCATTCTTAACTTGTTTGTCTCACTCTAAAATAACTACTAATATATACAAAAATATAAAAACAAAAGATGAAGTAAGTCACACACCTGGAAGTAATCTTCTTCTAAGTCCTTGTAAGCAAGACACAATGTCCGCAAGCCGTCTCCAGCAAAACCCTGCAACATTTGCACGTTTCAAAGCCAGTCACTAGTAAATACATGTATATTGAAATTAAATACAGTATGATATGGAAATGCATTCATAAATGATGCTATATCTGGATAATGTAGTAGGCACTAGAAGAGAAATTAAATTAGATCAAGCAGTATAGATAAATGAGTAACACACAGTAAATAATGAAAACATTAAGGATGCCTATTTTTTTTATATGACAGCTTCCTCTGGAGTCTTCCATTCATTAATTAGATGGAATCATTAAAATCTGCCCAGAATTTTCAACAATTTGATGGATTAGGCTTTTTGAAGAGCACCTGAAACACTTGTTGATAAAACTAAGAAAATATGTTCAAAGTGAGAGAGAGAAAGTTAATGAACTAAAAAAAACAGATGACGAGGAGGAACATTAACTGCAAAAATTCAGCCAACAGAAAAATGTGGAGAATGAAAGGAATAAAAATAATGAATAAAATGAAATATGGCCTCTAATGTTGGTAAATGGAGTCACAAAGGCAATGAATTACAGAAAAGTTGATGGTTACACAGTAAAATATTCATTAATTGTGCAATACTTTATATATAATGAATCGAAAAATTATGTCTCATTCATTTACAGACAATCATAAAATAAATGCTTAAAATGAGTTCTATATCAATGCCTTTAGTACAGGTTCTTATTTATAAATCTTTCAAGCACTGTACAGAGCTTATGTCTCATTAAAGAATCCTACATTTATAGGTTACAATGCAAAGAAAAACAACTGCATCATCTACTTTATAATCAAAAGCCTAAGCACATAAAATACGAATTTCTTAATAAACAAGTATCACTTACATCTAGGTGTTCCTGAGTAAGCCGTTTTATAACATCTTGTCCATCCTTTAATCGCTCATAGATAATTGAATCTGCACCTTTGCAGTATAGACGGATCTTTCCATCTTTTTTAAGTATTACAGACATGCGTTTCCGGACATTATTGAAATCGAGAATGCATAGCAATTCATATACTTCTTGTGCATCCTTAGCCTGGAAAATACATAAATGATTTAAAATTATTTAAATAAAAATGATTTAAATAAAAGTTCTATATTCAAGTTAGTGTACTCACAGCACCAAGAAAACTTACTATTCAGTACCTGGCCAAGATTAGTTTACTATATACGTACTGGTTACTAGTAATAATTACAGAATTATATCCAAATTTCAGAATCTGCATGTTAGGAACTGTGGCGGTGGCTGGGAAGTGTGTTGGGAGACAGGAGAAGATAGTCCTTCAATATGACACTAATATCAACTCTACGCCTTATTTATCTAGCACAATTCATCTAATATGACATAATTAACAATATTAATAACATAGAAACATGATACATACTGTAGAATGAATAAAATATGTCATTACATATGTGACGAGTGTTGCTGTGTTTGTTGTTGGGTGTATAAGGGCCACTGAAAGATAAGCCTTACAAAGTTGTGGTGATGGCGGCAGCAGAAGCAGTGGTGTTAGTCAGTAGCTCTATATACCTCCAGCAACTTTGGAGGAATCAGTTTCGTGCTGTCCTTTTTCTATCGATTAATCACTTAACTTACTTGCTACACTGTTAATGCTACACTTTATCGCTGGCTGGCATAATAGCGCACAAAATGCATGCTAAAGGAATAACAGGAAAAGTCGGTCGATGGATCTATAATTTCCTCACTAACAGAACACAGAGAGTAGTAGTCAACAGAGTAAAGTCCGAGGCAGCTACGGTGAAAAGCTCTGTTCCACAAGGCACAGTACTTGCTCCCATCTTGTTCCTCATCCTCATATCTGACATAGACAAGGATGTCAGCCACAGCACCGTGTCTTCCTTTGCAGATGACACCCGAATCTGCATGACAATGTCTTCCATTGCAGACACTGCAAGGCTCCAGGCAGACATCAACCAAATCTTTCAGTGGGCTGCAGAAAACAATATGAAGTTCAACGATGAGAAATTTCAATTACTCAGATATGGTAAACACGAGGAAATTAAATCTTCATCAGAGTACAAAACAAATTCTGGCCACAAAATAGAGCGAAACACCAACGTCAAAGACCTGGGAGTGATCATGTCGGAGGATCTCACCTTCAAGGACCATAACATTGTATCAATCGCATCTGCTAGAAAAATGACAGGATGGATACGAACAGCACCTTTCAAGGCAGGTGAAATTGCTGACCTAGAAAATGTACAGAGAACCTTCACGGCGCGCATAACGGAGATAAAACACCTCAATTACTGGGAGCACTTGAGGTTCCTGAACCTGTATTCCCTGGAACGCAGGCGGGAGAGATACATGATTATATACGCCTGGAAAATCCTAGAGGGACTAATACCGAACTTGCACACGAAAATCACTCACTACGAAAGCAAAAGACTTGGCAGACGATGCAACATCCCCCCAATGAAAAGCAGGGGTGTCACTAGCACGTTAAGAGACCATACAATAAGTGTCAGGGGCCTGAGACTGTTCAACTGCCTCCCAGCATACATAAGGGGGATTACCAACAGACCCCTGGCAGTCTTCAAGCTGGCACTGGACAAGCACCTAAAGTCGGTTTCTGACCAGCCGGGCTGTGGCTCGTACGTTGGTTTGCGTGCAGCCAGCAGTAACAGCCTGGTTGATCAGGCTCTGATCCACCAGGAGGCCTGGTCACAGACTGGGCTGCGGGGGCGTTGACCCCCGGAACTCTCTCCAGGTAAACTCCAGGTAATAGCCCTCATCAACTCCTGCTGCAGATTGAGACACTTATGCAACATATGAGAATCTTTATTCAGGAAACGTTTCGCCACACAGTGGCTTCATCAGTCCAATACAAAGTAGAAAGGCGTAAGGAGAGGAGGAGTTTGAGGTAATCAGTCCCTCAGCCTGGAGTTGATGTGTTCAGTCCATCAATCTTGTAGAATGTACAGCATAGGGCCGTAGACGTGGCTTATATACTGTAGTGAGGTGAGGTGAAGCAGGAGGAGGTGGGGTCATTGTGGTACCATCCACTAGTCGAAGTAGGTCTTCGTCCAAAGGTTGGACAAGTGTTGAAGAATTCTTTGTAACAAGATCCCATGATGCTGCAATGTCTGACGGTTGTGATGAATGGTTTGAAAAATCGACAAGTTGAAGATTGAGACACTTATGCAACATATGAGAATCTTTATTCAGGAAACGTTTCACCACACAGTGGCTTCATCAGTCCAATACAAAGTAGATTGGCGTAAGAAGAAAAGTTTGAGGTAATTAGTCCCTCAGCCTGGAGTCGATGTGTTCAGTCCATCAATCTTGTAGAATGTACAGCATAGGGCCTTAGACGTGACTATATACTGTAGTGAGGTGAGGTGAAGCAGGAGGAGGTGAGGGTCATAGTGGTACCATCCATTATGACCCCAGGCTGAGGGACTGATTACCTCAAACTCCTCCTCTCCTTACGCCTTTCTACTTTGTATTGGACTGATGAAGCCACTGTGTGGCGAAACGTTTCCTGAATAAAGATTCCCACATGTTGCATAACTGTCTCAATCTTCAACTTGTCGGTTTTTCAAACCATTCATCACAACTCCTGCTGCTTTAGTATCGTACATATCGCAGAATCACTGAAGAAGGCACATTCTCCCCTCTCTCTCAGCCCTTTACGAAAGGGCTGGCTGGCACTAGTAACTTTCTTTGGGGCCATGGTGGCTTATTTAGCAGTTGCAAGCACTAAAAAGAATGGAATACGAAATGTATCTCATGAACGCGTGGGATCGTGCTCACTGGCTGATAAACAATGGCACACTGAGGGTCGGGCCGCTGTTGCTGTGCGGATGCGTTTGAGACGAATGGCTATTACCAAGCTCAATGACGATCACCGAGCCAATATTTTAACAAAGTTACAATTTGCGAATACAGTAGACTCTCATTTAGCACGAGTTTATTTGGCATGATTTAGGTATTGTACGATTGAAGAATTGCGACACAATTTTATGTAACACATCGTATAATTAATTTAACACAGTGCAGTTTGTGGGAAGGAAAAAAAATACTCTTTTGCTCAAGCAGTCGCCTTGTTGTAGAGCAGCCAGGGAGCCCTCCCGCCATCCCCAGCCACTCTCAGACACCACTCCACTATCCCAGCATTCGTAATTTACATGTGTCCAGTCTTTCTCTGCTACAAGGCAGCTGTGTTTGTGAATTGTGTTATGATATTTTATCACTATCTTGTATCTGCTAAGCAATCATGACACCCAGCAGCCATACCAGTGTTGTTGAAAGTGGCACGAAAAGGTATGAGCACTTAAGTCTTAGAATTAACAAAGAAACAAAGATATTAGACAAGCGATAACCTGTAGCCATAATGAGGTGTTACTTTGCACACAGAAAAAGAGGTAAACATGAGTTTGTGTGACTGACTTACTGAATGGCTGATTTACTGAATGAATGACTGACTTACTGAATGGCTGATTTACTGAATGAATGACTGACTTACTGAGTGACCTGACTGATTTACTGAGTAACTTGACTGAATGACATACTGAGTGACTTGACTGAATGACTTACTGAGTGATTTGAGTGACATACTGAATGACTTGACTGACTTACTGAATGACTTGACTGACTTACTGAGTGACCTGACTGACTTACTGAGTGACTTGACTTACTGAATGATTTGACTGACTTACTGAGTGATTTGACTTACTGAATGATTTGACTGACTTACTGAGTGACTTAAAGTTAGATACTCCAGTACAACCATCGACTTCAGTACCAGAACCTCTACCATCCACCTCAGCCCAGTAGTGCCACAGCATAACTCTCCACTCTCTTCACAATATCCACAAACACCAGCACCCATAATTTAAGGTAAGGAACACTATTATTTTTGTTACATTTGTAGTCTTAAGCAGTAAAAACAACATAATACATCACAACAATGAGCTACAACTACATATTCACTTTTATTTTTGTAAGATGTGGCTTTCTGGGGGTTCCCAGGAATGTAACCCTATTTTTCCCATAAGTTCTTCAGTTCATCTAACACGATTTTTTATCTAACACGGCATTTTCAGGAACGTAACTATTGTGCTAAACACCGGTCTACTGTATTACAAAACTCAGACGACTACAATATCCAGGGGCCCACTGTACCATAATTACTAAAAGTGCTAGGAAATTTGGTTTAAAAGTTTTCACAGTTCATCAGAAAAGTAAAAATAATCTCAAAAAATTGGTTGAAAAACTGGTAAATAGTGCACTAATGCCAATAATGACACCAACCTTTGTCTAGCTGAAACACTAAATCTTAAAGTAATGCTCTATCAAATTATGCAAAACAAACAAAATGCCATAATAAAAAAAATTGAACCCCATAAGGGAATAATTATTCTCATTTTTGTGAATATTTATTATTTTTGGGAATACAGTGGAACTCCAGTTTTTGTACAGTCCGAATATTGTGCAATTCAGATTTAGAACACTTTTCGGGCAAAATTTTGGTCCGGATTTCGTACCTCCATCCGGAAATCGTACATATCAGACGTGTCCACTCACCTGGGATGTCGCCACTCTCATGCATACATGTCTCAGTCTGGCTCTGTCACTGGTTGAGTGAGCATTCATCCGAAACATTTCGCAATTTTTGTGCTTGCTTAATGATTGCGATTGCGAAATAAGCCACCATGGGCCCAAAGAAAGTTCCTAGTGCCAGCCCTTTGGTAAAGAAGGTGAGAAACAATAGAATTCAAGAAAGAGATTGTAGAAAAATAAAAAAGTGGCGCATGCTTAGCTGAGCTAGCCAGGATGTATGGGAAGTCAAAGTCAACAATCTGTTACATCCTGGCAAAGAAAGTAGAAATCAAGGAAGCTAAAGTTGTGAAAGGGGTAAATATGCTAATGAAACAGAGATCACAAACAATCGAAGATGTGGAGAAGTTGTTGTAGGTGTGGATCAACGAAAAACAGTTAGCGGGAGATAGTATTGTGGAGTCAATCATTTGTGAAGGGGCAAGGCAGTTGCATGCGGATCTCATAAA